TCCTCCTCCTGTCCCCCTCTGCGCGTGGCCAAGCAAACACAAACTGTCGGGGCACCGCGCGGACACCTCAGATCGGCGCTCGGACCCTCCCCGGCGCGCCGCCGGAGTCCGCCCGAGCGGCGCCGACAGGGGGTCGCAGCGCCGAGGCGAGAGATTTTTGAACGGAGCTCTGGTGAGCGTTTTCTTATTCGGCGTGTCGGCATTGAGCGACGAGGGGGGGGGGGTCTGGCTCTGGACCTCTGCATAGCGCGACTGTTTGCAACAGAGTGTCTGGAGTGGGGGAGGCTGCACCTGCTCGAGACAAGCGCCAAAAGCAGCCAAGATCTACTCCATGCGGGGGGGAGGGTGGGTGCGAGGGCCCACGCCGGTCGGCAAAACAATAAGTTTATCTTTATGCAATTCTGCTAGTTTCTATGAAAGAGACAAAGACGAAGAGCCGGTCCTGGAGAGGGTCTCGAGGCCCCCGGGGGGGGGGGCCACGTCACGAGCAAATCGTGGTGTCGGCGGAAGAAGAGGAGAGGAGGAGGAGGAGGAGGAGGAGGAGGAGGAGGAGGAGGAGGAGGAGGATCAAGAAAAAAAGAAAACGAAGAAGAACAAGAAGAAGAAGACGAATGGGACGCAGGAGGAGGAGGCAGCAGAAGAGGGGAGCGGGGGAGGAGAAAGAAAGGGGAGGCGCTCGGGCAAAGCCGGTCCTTCTCGGCGAGCGCCATGTGGCAGACCAGCAGGCCTCCCTCTCCAGTGGCCCCCAGCGCGTGCAGCCGATGGTCCACGCGGGGGGGGCGGCGGACGACAATGCGCGATCACCATCCATCATCACTACCACCGTCATCAGCATCAGCATCATCAGCATCATCATCATCATCATCATCATCATCATCAGCATCATCGTCACCACCGCCACCATCATCGTCATCGTCATCATCATCCTCATCATCATCAACACCATCACCACCATTATCATCATCATCAAGAACATCATCATACTCTAATCATAATCATCAGCATCATCATCAGTAGCATCAGCATCATCATCAACACGACCATCACCAACATCCTCGTCATCATCATCAGCAGCATCATCATATTCATCATCCTCATCATCAGCATCATACTCATCGTCAGCATCATTGATATCATCGTCAGCATCATCATCATCGTCATCGTCATCATAATCATCATCGTCGCATCACCATCATCACCATCACCATCACAACCACCACCATCATCATCAGCAACATCGACAAACAGTTCCACCACCATCATCATCATCATCATAACCATCATCGTCATCATCCCAATCATCATCATATCCCTCCTCGTTCCATCAGCATGATCGCCATCATGGCCGTCCTCATCATCATCATCATCATCATCATCATCATCATCATCATCATCATCATCATCAACATCATCATCCTCATTATCAGTATCATCGTCATCCTCATCATCGTCAGCATCAGCATCGTCATCATCATCACCATCACGAACACCATCACCATCAGAACCTTCATCATCACCAACATCGATAAATAATTCCACCATCATCACCAAACTCATCATCGTCATCATCCCAATCATCATACCCCACCTCCTTCTCATCAGAATGATCGCCATCATGGCCGTCCTCATCACCATCATCATCAGCAGCATCATCAACATCATCATCCTCATCAGCATCATCATCATCGTCATCCTCATCATCGTCAGCATCATCATCGTCATCATCATCATCGACAACAATAGCCTTAGCATAAGCATCACGAGGTGCTCGCCTCGAGGGCACGGCAAGGTTGCGGGGACAATGCTGCCGGCCCCGCAGTTACTTTGCATTGGTGACTCAACGAACGTGCTGACTGTATGCATGCCCAGGCTTGCCTTAATTGAACCGTAGAGGCGGCACCAGGTTCTTTGGCGAAACACAGACCTCCAAGACATAGCGTGGCGGCAACGCTGGCGCTCCTCCAGGCATACGACATACATCCGTACGATCGACAGGGATACCGATACCTCCACTATGGGCATCAGCGCTGCACCAAACATACATCCGCCTTCCTGTTGCCGAATAGCCCAGGGCTAAGGGATGCGAGCTGCAGCATCGGTCGTGGGCGGATAGGCTTTCCAAATTGTTGTCGTCAACGACAGAGAGGGAACTTGACGGGAAGGAAGAACGTATTAGACCACTGCTTCGGAGAGTGGCGCGCGGCGCCGCCTCCGCCTCCGCCTCATCCCCCTCCGCCTCTCTCCTCCTCCTTCTCCCTCCTCCTCCTCCTCGGCTTCCTCCTCTTCCTCCTCTTCCTCCTCCTCCTCCTCTTCCTCCTCCTCCTCTTCCTCCTCAATCTTGACTGAGCGAACAGACACGATCATTATCATTATCCTCCTCCTCCTGCTGGAGAGATGGAACGACAGGCGACGGCGACGACGATGGCCAAGCCCAAGCGCCCCGCCCCAGAGCGCGCGCAGGTTGGACCCGTCCAGGTACGCCGCGAGGGAGAAGTACTTCCTCCAGCGGGCCGCCGCCAGGGCAGAGGCGCACCGGCTCGAGCGACGCAGGAAGGCACTCCGGTCCCGGCGGCCGGAGGTGCCACGCGGGAGGCGCACCCTCCTCGATCTTGGTCGCCCAGCTTCGCGCATCGCGATCCGCGGTGCTAGGAGCACGGTCATAGCTGCGGCACCTCCAACGCAGGGAGATACTCCGGTCCAGGCGGCCTGAGAAGCCACGCGGAAGGTGCCCCAGACACGCGACGCCCTGATCATTTCAATACGCGGTCCCCAGAAGTCCCGACCCTTTCCCCGGGATGGGCTTCTCCTGCCGAGTGGTTGTTTGTCGGTCCCGGGGCCCGGCCATGGCCTCCAAAGGCCGAGAACGGTGAAAAACTTCCGCGCTGAGGCTTCAGGACGCGATTAAGTCTGGGGACCCTAAGATACGACGCCCGCCTTGTAGATCCGAAACCCCTTGGTCTCTCGTACTGGCGGTGAGAGTGAGTGCGACTGCCGCGACCTGGTCCACAGTTCCTGATGCCGCTCCAACATTCATCGGGGCAAGATCGCCCACCCTACTGCGAGTGGTATTATGCGAAGGGGGGGCTACGATGTAGCTTGCTTACATGTCCCACACATACAAGCTGGACCAGGCTATGCTCTGCATGCATCCTGCGAGGATAATGTGCTCTACATGTATGCTATCTGTATGATAGAAGTCTGCCAACCGCTAGCCAACGATCAACCATGTGCTCCAAAATGGCCAAATATAAACGAAGACGGTAGTCGAGTTTCATCGCAATAGTGGTAAATAGCTCTGGTCGAAGAGAACCATAAACTATTCAGCACCCCCACAGACTATGCAACCAACTGATGCTAAGTAAACCAGGAGTGTCAGCTTTAAGATGTCTTCACATGGATGTTCTAAAGGGGGAGCTTCCTTTCACCGCCAAATCCCAAAACCCAACCAACCTTGCGTTGCTCACGGACTTGCACGGGTCATTTTCTCATGACGCTCCGAAGCCGATATGGTCCTGGGGTAAGGCTAGTGGGTCGGTATTCTCCTGGTGGGGGCTTCCAGGTCAAGGCAACGATCGTGATGAGTGTTTGCACGGGCCATATGAATTGCTTCTACGTTGACGAATAACTCGAGAAACTGTTCATGGCCTTTGCTCTGGTAGCTGAAGCCACTGTCTAGGATTCGACGGATCAGCCCGCAGACCTGCATGTTCCTTATAAAGTACCAGATGCCCTGAAGGAGGCCAGGCACTGTGAGGTCAGGAAGAGGACGCTCGTCCTGTTGAAAAAGCACTGCTGCACACAAACGACGAAGCCACACAGGGAAACAATTGTTTTGCAAGTCGCCGTGTTTCCGCCACAATGTGGGCCACCTGTCCGCCATGACCTGCACGATCCTCAGTGGTTCGATGATCTCCTGTCCTCCATCGTCCCGTTCAAGCGCTACCACTACCCTGGGGGGGGGGGCCTTCTGCACCTGGGCGAGCCTTTACTGAAGGGGCCCTCGACACCTTCCCACGCAAAGCCGGCTCCGGCTTCGCGGATGGGAGCCAGCGCACCTTCAACACGGGGCTCTCGCCCCAGCGCCGCGCACTTCGCTCGGAAATGCAACGCTGGGCAGGATCGAACAATCTCTTTTACAACATCGAAGGGGCCCTGGGACACACCAGCAAGTAGACACAAGTAACAGGAGTCCCCGTATTCTGAAGGGGCCCTGGGACACACCAATAAGTAGACACAGATAACAGGAGTCCCCATGTTCTCCCATATCTTCTGGGTTCTTGTCGCCCCCCCCACTTCCCACAGTTTCGCACATTTTCCTGGGAATCGGCGATTCATTGTGTCGGTGTGATTTCCCTCCTGATTCATGGGAGCATCTGTGGAACCCCGCGGCCCTACGCATCGTAAGCGCGATTTCGACCAGATATCGTTCAAAATTCGGCCAGGCTTCGTCAGGGTGGTGTCCAGAGTTCGTCCAACCTTCGTCCCGATGTCTACGGAACCCGACGGCATCCGGATTACACTGACGGCGCGTAGAGGGGGGAGGGGGGGGAGGCTTCGTAGCAGGAGGCTGCCGCTCAGAAGGCGCTGGCCTTACATCTACAGAGAAGGCCCGCGCCTGCTTAAAAGCAGGGGAGATCCTCCTCCTCCTGCGGCACTGCGGGCAAAGCGGTCCTTCTCCGCCGAACCCCGCGCCGCGCCCGCGCCCGTCGCGCGCGGCGCGACGCACGACCCCCTTCCTCAGAGATCCTCTGGCGAGGGGCCTCCAAAGAGCCTCTGTATTCCTGGGCACCCCGCAGCCAGCATAGAGAGATGCCTCGAAGGCCTCCTCCTCCTCCTCCTCCTCCTCCTCCTCCTCCTCGGACCCCCCTCTGCGCGTGGCCAAATCAACAGAACCTGTCCCCTCTCCACCTCCCCCCGCCCCTGTCTGCGCGCGGCCGAGCCCGGCCCTTCCCTCCCGGCCGCCTCCATACCGTCCCGGTGGCGCCCCCGAGCGCTCTCGGAGCGGCCGGCAGCGCGAGCCGAGAGCGCTGGAGCGGGCCATCCGAACGCTTCGGGAACCCCACGGGACGCCCCAGCAGACGCCCAGCGCTGCAAGAGGGTAAGACCAAGTCACGGTCGGCGGCAAGCCCAGGGGGGCAGCGAGAGGGAGAGAGGCCTTCTCAGAGGGCTCGGGAGTCCCCCGGCCAAACTGAGAATAGGCTCGAGCCTTCCCCGAAGACACGGAAAACTTCCCAGAAGGCGCGAAGGCTTCTGAGAAGCCCCGCCGCCTTCTGAGAAGGCCTTCTCCTTCTCACTTCCCCCCCTCGCTCGCCGCCGAGATGGAAGGAAAATATGGTGTTGCTTCCATCGTACTTAAAGACCACATCCCAGAAATAATTTCCAGCACCTGGAAAAGTGTCGAAAGAGTAATGAAGCATTGTCGAAACAGTGTCGGACGAGTGTTTCCCAGGGCCCGACACGTGAAAACCCTCGAGTTTCAGTACTTTCCTGGTGCTTGAAATTCTTTCTGGCGATCAAGTCTAAAGGAGGTTGGAACATCACACGACAAAAGAAATACCCCATGACGTGCTGACACAAACCGGGTCGCGAGATCGAGGGCGGGTTTCCTCTGAGAGGCTTCCGCACCAATTGCCTAGCAGGGCAACCTTCTATCCCGCTTCGCCTCCGCACCCGCCTCCCTTCTCCTATCTCCTGCCTCCTCATCCACCACCTCCGTTCATCCGCCATCCTCCCTCCTGCCCTCTTCTGCCACTTCATCATCACCCTCACCATGCTCATTATCATCATCATCATCATCATCATCATCATCATCATCATCATCATCATCACCAGCATCATCATCATCATCATCACCATCACCATCACCATCAGCATCAGCATCAACAACATCATCAGCATCAGCATCAGCATCAGCATCAGCATCATCATCATCATGATCATCATCATCATCATCATCATCATCATCATCATCATCATCATCATGATCATCATCAGCATCATCATCATCAGCATCAACATCAGCATCATCATCATCAGCATCATCATCAGCATCAGCATCAGCATCATCATCATCAGCATCATCACCATGATCATAATCAGCATCATCATGATCGTCATCAGCTTCAGCATCAGCAATCCTCATCATCATCCTCATCATCAGCATTAGCATCAGCAGCAGCATCAGCATCATCACCATCAGCATCACAATCATCATCGTCATCATCATCAGCTTCAGCATCAGCATCCCTCATCAACATCATCATCATCATACTCAGCAGCTTCATCATCATTAACACCATCATCCTTATCAGCATTATCATCATTATCGGCATCAGTATCGTCATCCTGATCCTCCTCCTCATCCTCATCCTCATCCTCCTCCTCATCATCATCATCAACATCATCATCAGCTTCACGCTCCTCATCATCTTCCCCTTCATCGTCATTACCACCATCACAACTAACATCACCGTGACCATTACTATCGCGTTCTGGATCGCGCCAGGTCGGGCACGGATTTGGCGCTGGTTTGATATCATAATGTCGCCCAACCTGGAGACTGCGCTCCGATGCAGTAATCCGAGTCGGATGGAGCAATTCGCTCTGCGGGCGAACCCGCCCACACTCCTCACGACTCGAGGCTTGCGAACAACGTGTTGACCGACGTAATTGCGTTCCGACGCGTTGTTTCGGAAATCTGGTGGCGGGGTTGGCGTTCTTTTCCGCTGCTGGTAACGACGAGAGCTGCCTGGCACCGTGTACAGTCATGGACCCCCGTGGTCTCCGCAGACGGCGTCTGCAAGGGAGCTCATTGAAGTCTGGCGGGCTGTGGCGTGGGCACGCGAAGCCTCGCACTGTGCACGCCAGTGTTAAAAATTAGCCAGCGGCCCTGTGTACTCGGCTCGCCTCCGCCTCATCCGCCTGCTCCTCCTACTCCGGCCCCTCCTGCTGCTCCTCTCCCTCCTCCACTTCCTCCTCCATTCACTTTTCCTTATAACTAACTCCTCCCTGTCGCACCCACAGGCGTGACGACAGGGCGGGCCGCGGATTCCGCCTGAGGCTGTCTAAAGACTTGTGACCCTGAAGCTTCAAAGTTGTAACAATTCCATGGCTGGAGGGAGGCATGTTTAAAAGTAAATCTCGGCTTAGCAAATGTAAATCTCGGCTTAGCGCCGACCATACTTCTTTCACGAGTTGGCAACTCTGCCGCTGATGCATGGGGGTTCGTTTTCAGAATGCTATCGCCTCAGCGCCGAGCACATTCAACCCGCAAGTCTCACTGATGGAAGGAAGACGTTTTCAGCATGTGGCGTTAGCCTGAGCGCCGCGCGCAATCGTATAAAAAGTGTGCGACCAAATCACAGATGGACAAGGCTCGTTTTCGAACGCACAGGCTCTCGCACGCCCGCCGCGCAAATGTGCCTTCAAAGCAGCTTCGCGGATGGAAGGCGGGCCTTTTTGTTCCCATGTATGGCCCTCGCCGTAGCACCGCGCACAATC